CTCCAGTTTCATCCATCTCATTAGAACTGATTCAAATGAATTCTTTTTAATGGCTGAGTAATATTCCATGGTGTATATGTACCACAGCTTCCTCATCCATTGGTCTGCTGATGGGCATCTAGGTTGCTTCCATGTCCTGGCTATTATAAACAGTGCTGCGATGAACATTGGGGTGCACGTGTCTCTTTCAGATCTGGCACCTCTTCTTTATATCTTCTGTTTCTGTTAGGTCCATGCCATTTCTGTTCTTTATTGTTCCCATCTTTGCTTGAAATGTTCCCTTGGTATCTCTTAATTTTCTTGAAGAGATTTCTTAGTCTTTCCCGTTCTGTTATTTTCCTCTATTTCTTTGCATTGATCACTGAGGAAAGGTTTCTCATCTCTCCTTGCTATTCTTTGGAACTCTGCATTCAGATGGGTATATCTTTCCTTTTCTCCTTTGCCTTTTACTTTTCTTTTCTCAGCTATTTGTAATAAGGCCTCCTCAGGCAACCATCTTGCCTTTTTGCATTTCTTTTTCTTGGGGATGGTCTTGATCACTGCCTCTGTACAATATCACGAAACTGTCCACAGTTCCTCAGGCACTCTGTCTGTCAGATCTGATCTCTTGAAGTTATTTGTCCCTTCCACTGTATAATCTTAAGGGATCTGATGTAAGTCATATCTGAATGGTCTAGTGGTTTTTCCGACTTTCTTCAATTTAAGTCTGAATCTTGCAACAAGCAGTTCATGATCTGAGCCACAGTCAGCTCCTGGTCTTGTTTTTGCTGACTGTATAGAGCCTCTCCATCTTTGGCTGCAAAGAATATAATCAACCTAATTTCAATATTGACCGTCAGGTGATGTCCATGTGTAGAGTCATCTCTTGCATTGTTGGGAGAGGGTGTTTGCTATGACCAGTGCATTCTTTTGGCAAAACTCTGTTAGCCTTTGCCCTGCTTCATTTTGTACTCCAGGGCCAAACTTGCCTGTTACTCCAGGTATCTCTTGACTTCTACTTTTGCATTCCAATCCCCTGTGATGAAAAGGACATCTATTTTTGGTGTTAGTTCTAAAAGGTCTTGTAGGTCATCATAGCACTGTTCAACTTCAGCCTGTTTGGCATTAGTGGCTGGGGCATAGACTTGGATTACTGTGGTATTGAATGGTTTGCCTTGAAAAGGAACAGACATCATTCTGTCATTTTTGAGATCACACTGAAGTACTGTATTTCAGACTCTTGTTGACTAGGAGGGCTGCTCCATTTCTTCTAAGGGATTTCTGCCCGCAGTAGTAGATATAATGGGCATCTGAATTAAATTCTCCCATTCCAGTCCATTTTAGTTCACTGATTCCTAAAATGTCAATGTTCACTCTTGCCATCTCCTGTTTGACCACTTAACAATTTACCTCGATTCATGGACCTAACATTCCAGGTTTCTATGCAATATTGTTCTTTACAACATCGGACTTTACTTCCATCACCAGTCACGTCCACAACTGGGCGTTGTTTTCGCTTTGGCTCCATCTCTTCATTCTCTGAAGTTATTTCTGCATTCCTCCAGCAGCATATTGGGCACCTTCCAACATGGGGAGTTCATCTTTCAGTGTCATATCTTTTTGCCTTTTTGAACTGTTCATAGGGTTCTCAAAGCAAGAATAAAACTTTAGCAAATCAAATTTGGCAGTACATAAAAAGACTAATGTCACAACAAATGGGATTTACCTCAGGAATGTATGGATGGTTCAGGATTTTTAAATCAATATAACTCAGCATGTTAACTATCTAAAGAAAAACCGCAGAATCATATTATTTGTTTCAGAAAAAGCATTTGACAAAATTTGATGTTCGTGATAATAAAGAAAAAAAAAATCAGGAAACTAGGAATAGCAGGGACCTTCTTCAGCCTGATACAAAAACAAAAACTGTATACCTAACATCATACTTATTGGTAAGCTCCTGAATGCTTTCCCCGTAAGATCAGAACAAGGTATAAAATCTGTTTTCACCAGTGCTAGCTGATTTTGTACTGGAAGTCCTACCCAGTAGCTTAGGACAAGAAAAAGAAATTAAGGCTAACTGGGATGAGGGTGATTGAAGCCCCAGTATTCTGAGCCTGCCATGCCTGGGTAGAGACTCCATTCTGTAAGTGGGGGCAGAATGGAGAAGGGGACCCTCGACCTTTGAGTTGGTCAAAATGAGAGATGGTGGTGGCCTGCACCCTCACCCTCTCAGGAGGATACAGAAAGTGCTGATTGTAAACTGAGGGTTTACAATCCCCACCTTCTAGGCCAGAGCCCCCAAGAGTGTGCCATCAATCCAGGAGAACTCTGTGAGGAAGAGGAGGAAGCAGGTTGTGGCCAAAAATGCCATAGTTCACTGTTTCTGTTGAGTTTTAGATTTTCTTGAATAAGTGTTTCTTCATTTGTTTTATGCCTTCAGGACAATCTCCAGAGACTTTAGGTGACCTAAGCTTTGTTTATCCTGAGACTGGTTCACAGGATCTCCTTAGCTGCCTTCCCAGGCATCTTCAGAGGATAGTTTTGCTGGATATAGAATTCTTGGCTGAAAGAAAAAGGCTTTTTTCTTTCAGCGCTTTTTGGCATGCCATCCCACTGGCTTCTGGCCTGCATGCTTTCTCATGACAAATGAGCTGCTATTCAGTTCAGTTCAGTCGCTCAGTCGTGTCTGACTCTTTGTGACTCCATGGAGTGCACACAGCAGGCCTCTCTGTCCATCACTAACTCCTGGAGCTTGCCTAAACTCATGTCCATCAAGTCGGTGATGCCATCCAACCATCTCATCCTCTGTCGCCCCCTTCTCCTCCTGTCTTTCCCAGCATCAGGGTCTTTTCTAATGAGTCAGTTCTTTGCATCAGGTGACCACGGTATTGGAACTTCAGCTTCAGTATCAGTCCTTCTGGTGAATATTCAGGAGCTGTTATTAGGGATTCCTTATGTGTGATGAGTTGGTTCTAACTGCTCTAAAGAGTTTTCCTTGGTCTTTTGATTATGGATAGCTACATGTGAATCTCTGTGTTTATTCTTCTTGGAATTTGTTTACCTTCTCAGATATTTTTCATCAGATTTGGGGGGTTTGGGGTCATTGTTTCTGTAGATACTCTTCCTGCCCCTCTCCTTGATGCGTGTGTTGGTCTCTGCTGGTGTCCTGTGTGTCACTCTTCATTCATTTCTCTTTCCGTTCCTCAGTCAGGAAATGTCAGTTGACGATACTCTTTCACGTTTGCTGGTTCCACCTTATTCCTGCTCAGATCTGCTCTTGAGCCCCTCAGGGAATTTTAAGTCCGATTTGTTACAGTTTTCAACTTCAGGACTTTCATATTTGTAACTTCTGTCTTTATTGTTATACTTTCTTCTAAGAGGTATCATTCTTATGCTTTTTTTATTTCTTTAGATGCCATTTTATTTTGTTCTTTGAACATATTTCAAATACTTGAATTTAAACTCTTCATCTAGTAAGTCCAACCTCTGAGCCTCTTTGGGGACGGTTTCTTTTGGCTGCTCGTTTCCCTATGTGTGGATCATACCTTGTTTCTTTGCGTGTCTCATAATTTTTTTTTGAAAGTTAGGTTCTCCATTAATATAATATGGCATCTGTTAAACTCAATATCATGTTTTCTCCGCCCACCAGGATTTGTTGCAGTTTCCGTTGTTGCTGTTGGTTAGGTGGCTCTTCTGAATTAATTACAGGTAGTTTGTGTGCTTTGCTGTGTGTGATCCTGAGGGGTTAGGCAGTGCGGGAGCAGAAGTGCTCCTTAATGCCTGGAGCCAGGAAATCTCCCCGGCTCTGTGGCAGACTCTGTGTCCTGGGGGTGCCTTCAGCTCCCAGCCACGTGGTTGGCATCCTGACTTTCTCCTCAGCTCCCTGCTTACACAGAGCCTTCTTGGACCTCTCCCGGACATGCGCACAGCTGTGCATGCACGTGTGACTTCTGGACCCCAGGAACACTCTGGAGCTCTCAGAGCTCTTCCTGGTATCTTCTTCCTTAGCTCGTTTACGTCTCCTGGCTGGCCAGTTTTCTCCATTTGTGGTCCACTGTGTTCGGCCTGATGAGTAGGTTTTTTTTTTTTTTCATCCTGAGTTTAAAATTGCCTCTCGATTCTTTCAGCAAACATCTCTAGGGAAAAGACTTTTTCTGCTGAGAGCTTCAGCATAAAAGGTCAGATCAAAAACAGCCTTGGAGGTGGAGCCTTCCAGGGAGACGCTGTGCGGGCCTTGAATGAGCCCCAGCCCCATGGCTGCCAGAACGTTTATTCCACCATGATTTGAGCTTTTGGCTTTCTCAGGTACAGGAGAAGAGGTAGGGACATGGCAAGTTAGAATGCCACAGTTCTCGGATCTTACTGAGATTCAGCCGTTTCTTGAATAAATTCTCATGGGTCATTTTCAGAGTTCTGAAGAAGCTGACTCTTAACAGTTTTTGCTGGTGTTCTTCTTGTGTCTGTGGAGGAGAAAAGCTGTAGGAGGTCCCTTTTCCACCCTTCCTCTAAGCTCAACACACTTCCATTGTGTCTTTTTCACGTGCGTCCATGTTGACACCACAGGGCCCTTCCTGCTGCCCCCCAGCCCCATCCCGCACCCCAACGGGGCCTGTGCCCAGCCTGCCCAGCCTCTGCCCTCCTGGGAGCTTCTGGACCGAGGTCTGGACACGTGGAAGAGCAGCGTAGCAGTTTTTTCATCTTGTTCTCATCTCTGTTCCCAGAAGAAGAACCACAAAGCTTCAGTTCTGAGCACAATTGTATTGTCTTCCTCCTGAGGACCTGAAATTAGGTGCCGTCTCCTTGGCTGCCTCCGTTTGGGGTCTTAGCCGTTTGTAGGGTAAAACTGCGAATTAGAGCTGACATGGGGCCCTCAGGAAAGGGCCTGCAGTGCTGAGGTGTGACCCGGCAGGCCTCCGGCAGGAATGTGGGGTCCAAAGTGAAAACTCACTCACCCAGCCCAGGGTGGGGGTGCAGCCCCTGCATGGAGAAGCTGTGGTGACCCCCACGTCTCCCGGCAGAGCGGGAACAGCTTCCACGTGCTGGACCAGGGCCAGTTTGCCAAGGAGGTGCTGCCCAAGTACTTCAAGCACAGCAACATGGCTAGCTTCGTGCGGCAGCTCAACATGTGTGAGTGTACTGCCTTGGCCCTGCATACAGCCCCGCGCGGCCCGGAGCCCACGCAGCTGAAGGGGAAGGGGTGTCTCAGGGAGTCTCCCTGAGACTAAGACCACCCAGCCACTGCAGGCAGGGCTTCTGGGAGGGCAGTGCTGGGCATTCCCTGAGGCAGGCCCCACCCGCCGGGGCTTCCCTCCATCCTCCCCGGGGCAAGGGCCTTCCTGGAGAGAGGGGTAAGACCCCAGCCCTGAGGCAGCGCTGCTCCGACCCCATTGTACACAGATGGCTTCCGGAAGGTGGTCCACATTGAGCAGGGTGGCCTGGTCAAGCCGGAGAGGGATGACACCGAGTTCCAGCACCCATGCTTCCTGCGAGGCCAGGAGCAGCTCCTCGAGAACATCAAGAGGAAAGTGACCAGCGTGAGTAGCCGTTCTCCCCCACGGTCTCGGCTCTCCGCCCAGGCCACCGGCAAGAGCAGCGTCCACTCGCTGGCCTGGCTTGGCCCAGCTATGCCAACCCTGCTTCCTGCTGGCCGCACGTCCCCCATCGGCCACCCCAGCGAAGGCCCCTCCATCCCAGCAGCCCCTCGGCCCTTTCTGCTGTATCCCGCCCCGCCCCCAGGCCATCTCAGTGACTGCTCCCCCGGGGACGCAGGTGTCCACCCTGCGGAGCGAGGACATAAAGATTCGCCAGGACAGCGTCACCAAGCTGCTGACCGATGTGCAGCTGATGAAGGGGAAGCAGGAGAGCATGGACTCCAAGCTGCTGGCCATGAAGCAGTAGGTTCTGGGACGCCATGAGAGCAGGATGCGACTCCTCTGGGATGGTTGGGTTACTGTGGTGGGTCCGGCCTGGGAGCAGCCTAAAGCTGGTTGTCATGACCAGACCTGCCCCAGGGAAAGGTTTCCAGAAAGAACTTCTGTGGAGCGATGGTGGGGGAGTTGGGGGTGTGAGAGGCCCTCCTGTGCAGGGACATGGGGGAGGCGGTGCCGGCGAGGCCACTCCCCAGCCCTGGTCCCGCGGGCTCCGCGCCGTCCCCTCGGGCCAGGGCCACGACTGGACTTGGATGGCCTCCCGGCGCTTGCCAGGCTGGACTTGCCGGTTGGACCTTGCCTGGGAGGCAGGGTCAGGTGCGGTCCCGTGGCAGCCCGCACAGCTGGGCCCTCGGGCCCCTCACTCTGCCTGCACATGCGCCTGGCACCAATCACCATGTGTCACCTCTCATCGGGCCTGGCGCAGGAGGCACTGCGGGTTCTTTCTGGACCCCCCCCCCTCCCTGGGGCACATCTGGTCACCACAGAACCGGTTTTAGGCACCCCCCCGCACCGCCAGGACCCCCATAGCAGCCAGTTTAGACCCCCTCCTATGTAACGGGGGCCCTCAAGCACCCCAGCCCAGGGTGGCCTCAAAGCCACTCGGGGCAGGCCGTCACACCCCTAGAGCATGGAGGAGGCTCCTAGCCCCTACCTAACTACTCATGTCAGACAGCCCAGTAGGAGCACTTGGCTGGCTGATACCCAGAGGTGGGGTCAGGTGGCCTTGGCCTCCAGGACAGGGGCGCCTCTTAGAGTGAGCACAGGAGGGTCTGCCGCCTGTCAGAAAACACGCTGGTGCTGAGCCGGGCGTGGGCTGCGGTGCTGGCCCTTTGTGCTCTTTAAGGGCCACTTTGGACCCCCTAAAGGACAGGAGAACCCGCACTCGCAGTCCTGTGACCTGAGAGCTGCACCGCCTCCATCCCCTGGGCCCCATCCTTGGTCCAGGCAGAGAGCCCGGAGGCTCTGCCACTTTGACCATGACTGAGAGGGCCCTGGGATCTTGGCCTGGCCCCGGGCCCCTGCTTGGCAGCGGGCAGGGACGGGCCAGCGGGTGGGCGCGTGGTGGAGCGGGATGTCCCAGGGCTCCCGCCGCCTGCTGACCACGCCCGGTCTGCTGCAGTGAGAACGAGGCGCTGTGGCGAGAGGTGGCCAGCCTGCGGCAGAAGCACGCCCAGCAACAGAAAGTCGTCAACAAGGTGCGTGCCGGGCCGGCGGGGAGGGGGGCCCTGTCCGCACCGGGCTGACCACCTCTCCCCCTGCAGCTCATCCAGTTCCTCATCTCGCTGGTGCAGTCAAACCGGATCCTAGGGGTGAAGAGAAAGATGTGAGGCACGGGGCACGCCCGTCTCCCGTGGGCCGCGACCCGGGGCCGTGAGGCCGGGCCGCCGCTCACCCGCCCCTCCCCACAGCCCCCTGATGCTGAACGACGGCAGCCCTGCGCACCCCATGCCCAAGTATGGCCGGCAGTACTCGCTGGAGCACATCCACGGCCCAGGCCCCTACCCGGTGAGCTGTGGGCGCCTGGGATTGGGGGGGGGGGTGCAGCTCCCACCACGTATGCTCACCTCCCTTTGGTGGCAGGCCCCCTCTCCAGCCTACAGCGGCACCAGCCTCTACTCCCCAGACGCTGTCGCCAGCTCCGGACCCATCATCTCTGACATCACCGAACTGGCCCCCAGCAGCCCTGTGGCTTCTGCCGGCAGGAGTGTAGATGAGAGGTGCGGCCCAGCGCCTTCCCCGCAGGCAGGAGCGGGTGGGACCGGCAGAGGCGCTCGCTGACACCTGTGCCCCACGGGCAGGTCCCTGTCCAACAGCCCCCTGGTTCACGTCAAGGAGGAGCCCCCAAGCCCGCCACAGAGCCCCCGGGCAGAGGATGCCAGCCCTGGCCGACCGTCCTCCATGGTGGAGACGCCCCTGTCCCCAACCACCCTCATTGACTCCATCCTCCGGGAGAGTGAGCCCACGCCCGCTGTCTCCACCACACCCATCGCGGACACCGGGGGCCGCCCCCCCTCACCCCTGCCCGCCTCGGCCCCCGAGAAGTGCCTCAGCGTTGCCTGCCTGGACAAGTGAGTGCCTTCCACGCGCCCTGCGGTCTCTGACAAAGACAGTGCAGGGCTGGACACACATGGCCCTCAGGCCCTCAGCATAGGACTTGCCAGGGGGAGCTGGCCGACCCGGCCCAGAACACGGAGCTGGGGAGGGAGACATAACAGTCTTGGGGTTCCGCAGTCCCTGCGCCACGGGAGCCAGGCGCGTGGCAGGCGCACCTGCCCCCTGAGCCGCCCTCCCCAGGCCACCTGGTCTGTCTGTCCTGCCACCCCAGAGGTGGGCGAGCAGGGTGGGGGCTTGGAGTCCGCCTGGCCCCCACCAGCAGTGGGGGGGCTCTTGTCTTTCTATCTTGCAGTTTGGCTCGCACTCCAAAGATGTCTGGGGTCGCCCACCTCTTCCCCTGCCCCTCCTCCTTTCTGCATGGCCGAGTCCAGCCAGGGTTAGCGCTGTCCCACTGGGGAGGGAGGAGGGCTCCGCCAGAGCTCGGGTCCCTCCCCAGCATCATAGCAGACCCCCACCTGGCCTGCTGAACAGGCTCCACCCCCAGCTCTGGGGCCCGAGGTAGCACCCAAGTTGCTGACTGGCCTCCTTGCAGGGGCAGGCCCAGTCTCCCTCCTGGAGCATGCCAGGGGAGGCTGGCCCAGCCCGACCGAGCACAGGTCCACCCTCCTGCTGTCCTCCAGTGCGAAGGGCAGGCCTTACTGAACCTGAAAAGCTGGGGCCCCAGCCCTTCTGAGCACTGAACTTCTCAGCCCCCTGCCGCCTTGGCCAGCCCAGCCTGACATGCTGCCAGAGGCCTTACGGGGCCTCATGGTGATGGGGGAGCCTGACCCACCACCCTGGTGGCCTAGTGTCCCAGCCCCACTGGGCCCAGGGCCCCACCTCATGGCCTCCTGTGAGCCTGCACAGGGCAGGCTGGCAGCAGGGCGCGAGGACCAGCAGGACTGCACCTGGGGGTGCCTGGACGCCACGTCAGCCGCTCTCCTCCCTCTGGCCAGGACCGAGCTCAGCGACCACCTGGACGCCATGGACTCCAACCTGGACAACCTGCAGACCATGCTGACGAGCCACGGCTTCAGCGTGGACACCAGCACCCTGCTAGACGTGAGTCCCAGCCCTGCCCGCCCTGTGCCCAGCCCACCCTGCTTGCAGGGCAGTCTGACCGCCCCCCCCCCCTCCCTGCAGCTGTTCAGCCCCTCGGTGACGGTGCCGGACATGAGCCTGCCCGACCTGGACAGCAGCCTGGCCAGTGTGCGTAGGTGGGGCGGGGCGGGGTGGGCGGGGCAGGGGGTGGGGCCGCGGGGGAGCTTTCACCGTGCTCCCTCTTGCTGCCCTGGCAGATCCAGGAGCTCCTCTCCCCCCAGGAGCCTCCCAGACCTCTGGAGGCAGAGAAGAGCAGCCCAGACTCAGGTGAGCTGAGCCCCCCGCCCGCCCAGCTCCCCGGCCCCACCACACCCTGACCCAGTCCCACCCCTAGGGAAGCAGCTGGTGCACTACACCGCCCAGCCCCTGCTGCTGCTGGACCCGGGCTCCGTGGACGTGGGGAGCAGTGACCTGCCGGTGCTCTTCGAGCTGGGGGAGGGCTCCTACTTCTCCGAGGGAGACGACTACTCAGATGACCCCACCATCTCCCTGCTGACGGGCGCAGAGCCCTCCAAAGCCAAGGACCCCACTGTCTCCTAGAAGCCCCAGGAGGAGAGCCAGCCTTGGGCAGGGCTGCTGTCGGGGAGCCTGGTCCCCTGGCTGGCAGGGGGGGTGGGGGCAGGGGGCGGCGCTCAGCCCCCGGCCAGCACTGAGGGCCTAGCCCTGTGAGCTACGGCTCCCCTGGGCTTCACGGCCACACTCAGACTGACCAGGACGCAGGTGTTCATAGAATTGTATTTTGGATTTTTACATGAGAGTCCCCCTTTCCCCTTCGATAGAGATATACAGATATATACGTGGACATACAGACTGATGAGCCAGGCAGAAATTTATAAACAACGAGCTCTGTGTGTGGTCTCCCTGTCTCTTCCTCCTGCCAGAGTGCGGGCGGGGGTGGGGGCATGATGATGAGGGGCGCAGGGTCTTGGAAGGGGCTGGAGGGAGGCAGATGGACACAGCACGCCGGAGCCTACTGGCTCCCCTGGGCCGCATGTGCTCAAAAGTTCTTTATAAAGGGACCAGGGCGGGGTCAGCACGGCCCACAGGCGGCCTGTGGCCAGGTCCACACTAAAGGACCAGGGGGGCCCCGGTGGGTGCATTGGGTCAGCACTGTGGGTCTGGAGTGAAGGAAGCACAGGCCCACCTCCTGAGTCAGGCAGCCAGGGGTGCAGAGGTGCACATAACATAGGAGGCGGGCCACAACAGCCCTTGCGGTGCCCTGCACCGCCAGCTCAGCCCTGCTCACTGTCCTTGCTGATGAGTAAGACTCAGGGTAGTGGCTGCCTAGGAGGCAGGGGTCAGGGAGATGCTGCCTACACCTGCTAGAGACCAAACAGTGCCTAGCCAACCAGTCTCTCTCACCCAGACAACCACCATGGGCTGGAGTGGCTTCTGGTTGGGGCAGGGCAGTACAGCTGGGTCCACTGCCCAGGCACCCATCTTATCGGGCCGCAGCTGGTGGTCAGGGCACACCTGTTTGGCACGGCCTCAGGGTTTCCAACCCAGGCAGCAGAGCCACTAGATGGGGGAACAGCCCAGAGTTTCCCTGTCTCGCTGCCAAGCTCTTGAGTGGCAAGCTCTGGGACCGAGGTATCCCAAGGGCCACACCCAACTGCCTGGTGAGGGCCTGGAAAAACGGGGAGCCCCCACCATCAGGCCAACCTCTGCCCCTTGGGGGCAGAGAGGGAGGCCCTCAGTGAGGGCTGGGCCAGACCACCCACCTTGTCCAAGCAGCCCAGAGCCCAGCCCAGGTGAGCACCCCAGCACCAGTCTGCACGTGGCCTCTGAGGCCTCTGCAGCCTTGCCTTGGAATCTCTGCTGCCCCTCGGGTCGGCCTGATTCTCAACCCTCTTCCACACCTTGGCCTCTGGCCTGGCCCAAGTTGAATCCACTTGAGTGCAGACCTCAGGCACAGGGGGCCTGGGAGCACAGAGGCTCCACCTCGCAGAGCAAGATATCTGACCACAGAGCCCTGTGAGGCAGGGAGGGTCACCCCAGCCCCAGCTCCTCTCCAGGCGCTGGGGGCCCCTTCCCACAGCATAGCCCTGAGGGAGCCCATGTGGGAGGGCCACCCCCTCCTGCCAGCCCTGTGCCCTGGAGGCTGAGGGAGCTCACTGTGCACAGCACTTTATTGACACATTCAGACCCTTGGGCGGGATCTACAGGGTTTCCAGAACATGGGCACCTCCCGTGGGCCTGAGCTGTGCCGGGCCTGCCATCCCCTGGCCAGGAGGAAGGCCCTCGGGGGGCAGAGAGGCCTCGTGGGGGCCAGAAGGCAGCTTCTACCAGCCAGGCCCCCTCCACTGTGCCCAGGTGGGGATGGGCTCCAGTCCAGTCGCCAGCGGCAGGGCAAAGCAGTTCAACACCCATGACGGCGCCAGCCTGGAGGGGCTCAGGCCCCGGCTGTCGGGGCCTCGTAGTTGAGCACGTAGTAGTCATGGACGTACATGAGGACGGCCACTGGCTGCCCGATGATGAGTGACAGCCACACGGCTGCGTTGCCATAGTTCCCACGGAAGAAGCGGCCCACTATCCAGGCCAGCGGGATCTGAGGACACGGGACAGGAATGAGCCTCCGTGCCCACGGGGCGGGTTTGTGGGTGGGGGTCCGGGGCTGCTCACCTGTGCCATCATGCCGGTGAAGGCCCAGAGGCGGAACATGCGCAGGGGGATGCTCACCAAGTACTAAGGGGAGAGGGGCGTCAGCTGAGCCCCCGCCCCCCCCCCCACCAAGGGGCAGGGCGTGCCCTCGGTGCACTGACCTCATGGAAGAAGGCGGAGGCCAAGAACACCCCTGTCCTGGCTGCCCACTTGCTGCTGCCCCGCCGGAGCATGGGCTTGTAGAAGTGTCTGTGGGGGAGGCGGCAGTGGGCAGGGCACCCAGCCACACGCCCCCCACCCCTACCCTCAGGCGCACACCCACCTGAGGCACCACTTGTGAACAGGGATGTTCCAATTCTGCCAAAAGTAGGTGATAGACTCCGAGTTCCTGCGGGGGCGGGGCGGGGTGGGGTGGAGTGGAGTGGGTAGGGGCTTAGGCCCCAGCCCCAGCAGGGGCCCCACCACCCCCATCCGCGCCCCCGCCCCGGCGGGGCCACCCACCACCAGTCCCGGTAGAACTCGCGGTCTCCAAACTGCATGAGCTCGGCCACAGCGTTCAGGCAGGAGTGGAAGAGCCAGTAGAAGAAGATGAGCCAGATGAGGTGATTGGGGACCTGTGGGGAATGGGTGCCAGGTGCCAGGACAGCCCCACCCGCTCCCACGTGCCCCCACCCAGCAGGCCACTCACCGCCAGTTTCAGTAGGCGCTCCACAATGCGGGAGTAGTCCATGTCCTGTGGACACAGGGCACAGCTGGCTCCCTCAGCCCTGCCCCCGGAACCCACCCTGCCGGGTCTGCCTGCTCACCTTGAAGGGCTTCATGGAGTTCTGGATGGCCGGGACCATCCACTGCAAAAAGCGCAGTGTCAGCTCCCCAACGGCCCCAGGCCCTGCCCCCACCCCCAGCCCCACCCCCCGCCCGGGCCGCGTACCTGCTGGATCAGCCCCACCTGGAGCTGGGTGAGGAACAGCTGCCAGAGGAAGCAAGCGGGCAGTGAGCTAAGCCCCCGGTGCCCGCAAGCCCGCCCACCCTGGCCCTCGAGGCCCCGTCTCACCATCTCCAGGAGTCGCCGCAGCAGGAAGCGCTTTCGGATGCGGGGGGAGCGGGGGAAGTTGAGCTCGTAGCACAGGGTGGGGGCGAAGAGGAAGTAGTAGAGATCTGGAAGGGAGGGCGGGGCTAGCAGAGCAGGCCGCCGGGCAGCCCCCCCAGCCCTCGGCAGGGTCCTCACCGCGGTAGGTCAGGTTGTCGGGGTAGCTCACGGTGCGCTGGGCAGCTCCCCCGTTGGCCTTCTTACCTGCCAAAGCTACGAGCAAGCGGCAGGGGGCGGGGCGGGGGTGAGCCGAGCCCCTGGCAGGTGGCAGCCCAGTGGCCCCAGCCCGAGGCAGCCCTCACCAGCCTTGGCCTTGGCCCCAGCCCTGCGCTCTCGGCACCAGAGATTGACGTCCCGGTAGGAGAACAGCTTGAGGAAGAGGATGGTGTAGACCATCAGGGCCAGCACGGAGCCCACTGTGGGAGAGGCAAGCTCAGGCCACGCCCCCGCGCTGCCGTGGCCGAGACAGCGTGGGATGGGGCGGGGTGCCCACCTGGAGTGATGGACTCGAGGAGGAAGGCCACCGCCGCTGGGAAGCAGAGAATGGTGGCCAGGTTGACCCCGTGCAGCAGCAGCCCCACCTGTTCCGTCAGGGCTCCCTGGGGTGGGGGAGCAGAGCGCTCAGCCAGAGCCCCTCTCCCTGGTCAGAGGACCTCCCTGGGGAAGGGCCGCCAGGTCTGAGGTGCAGCCCGTCCCAGAAAGGCCATGCAGGACCCAACACCCTGAAGCACAGTGGGACCAGGTGGTGACCCGCCCTAAGCCCGACTGATAAGGAGCTTGAGGCAGGTCAGGGGCGGGTGTGAGGGCACTGCTTACCACGGCCAGGCGCTTCTCCACCTGGAACGCAGCCACGGCAAAGATATTGGCCACTGAGGACAGAAGCAACCCAGGGCAGGTTCAGGCCCAGATCAGCCCTGTCCCGCCCACCGCCGGCCTGAGGCCTCCTGCACACCCAGCTCACCAATGACCAGGCACAGGGCTGGCCAGCTGTAAGGGTCCTTCAAGAACAGAGACACCACCTGGATGGGGTCCACCAGGATGCCGTACCTGCAGACGCAGGTGGGTGAGGGTCTGCGTGGGCGAGGGGCGAGGTGGCAGGGGCTGGGGCGGGCTGGGGCCCACTCACTTGATGAGGTTCTCTAGAAATAACCGTGCGTTGCTTAAGATCTGCGATAGAGAGAGAGGGGCACAATGCTGTCAGCCATGGCCCCAGAACACCCACCCCAGCTCCTGCCAGCACTCGCAGCTCAGGACAGCAGCCTCCATCCTGCAGGCCCAGCCCTGAGGGACCTCACGCCAAGCTCCAAGACTCCCCACCCATGGCCTGGGCACCCACGCAGGGACAGGCAGCCCCTACCCTTCTGGAGCCAACCACAACCTCAGGTGCCTGTGCTGCCATGGCAGAAGAAACCCGCTGCCCAGCGGCTGTCCTCCATCCCACCGAGTGGGTCAGCGCCCGCGGCCACAGCGACAGCCCCAAGCCCCAGCGAAGTCCAAGCCTGCCCAGCGCGCTGCCACCCGCTCAGGGCTCCGCCCTGCCAGCTGGGCCCATCCTCACAGGCGGGGTGTGCCCTCGCCTTCAGTGGGGTGGTGGGAAGAGCAGGCCAGTCCTGAGGGGCCAGGGAAGCTGGGCCTGGGTCTCCACCCCTACTCACACCCCCACCCACCTCGGCCACTCCTGCAGCAACAGCAAAGGACGGGTCCCCTGTCACAACAAGCTCTTGCCAGTGGCCTGGAGCCAGATGCCTGGCTGCCCTCTGCAGGGGCAGGGGCCGCCTACTCCACCCTCAAGGCTCAGGTCCCATGGGGGTTGCAGAAGGCTCTGTGGAAAAGTGATGCTTCTCCAGGCGACACGGGTGGAGTCCCCTACCCGGAAGGCTTCCCGAGGTGACAGGCTCAGAGATGCAGGGGCCACCTGCCACACCGTCCCCCAGCTAAACACCTAACCATCCAGCTTACCAGGACACATGGTCCTGCAATGTCTGCCCACTGGCAAGTTGCCTGTCCTGAGCCCACCGCAGGCAAGAGCTGGAGCTGCTAAGAGGCCCACCCACCTGGAAGCCCAGGCTGCAGAGAGGACGCAGCAGGTGGCCCCAGCTCCGGGGGGGGGGGGGGTGCGGAGCTTTGTGAGTGCACCAAAGGGCCAGGAGGCCAGGGGCTGCAGGAGAACAGACAGGCTGCTGAGGGCCTGCCCTGCATGACTGCCTTGCCACAGTCCTGGACCAACCGTGGCCTCCAGAGACGCATGGACTACTGGGTCTGGACTGGTGCACGGCCCCCACTGCTCCCCAGGGGACCACCCGAGACCACAAATGGAAGCGTGGGGGCCCCTGGTACACAGGCAGCCTCGGGTGCCACACCCAGGGCAGGCAGACACGTTGGCTGGAGGGGCGAAGGCCTCGAGCCACATCAGCCCTGAGCAGTGGGGCTGGGCCCAGACGGGCCTCACCCTGCCCCGCCCTGAAGGCTGCCCCTGGGATCCCTGCACTCCAGCTGCTGCTGGACAGGTCTGCTGGGGCCCAGCAGGAGTGGCCTCGGCCAGGTCAGAGCGAGGCGGACACAGGACTCCAGTCCTGCTCCCCCTAGGGCTGAGGAAGGGGCCGGGGTCCCACAGAGTGTGGCCTGGAGCCGGTTCGCAACCACCCAGGCACTCCACACCCACGAGAGCAACTTGGAACAGAAGAGGAAGTTCTCCATAGACTCCCAAGACCACTCACCTGTGCTGCCAGGGAGGGCCTGGGCCCACAGAGCAGCCATCCCCCACCCAGGGCCACCAGACCGTCCCTGCCTACCCTCTCCCGCCCTGTGCCCACCACAGAGTGCCTGGGAGACTCCAGTGCCCCCCGGGGCGCAGCCTCCAGCTCAGAGGCTCCCAGGCTGCCCTCTGCAGGCGTCTCCTGGGATTCAGCAGGGACGGGGTGAGCATGCTCCCCGTGGGGCCCTGGGGTACAGCTGCTCCAGGGACCCCCACCGCCAGCCCAGAGCTCCACTCACCCCAGCTACACGAGCACAGACACCCACCCTGGGAGCAGAGCCCATAGCCCCCCAGCCGTCGGGACCCCAGCTCCAAGGTGCCACTCTACATACCAGCATCACCACACACCAATTCAGGATGCCACGGTAGTTGCTGAAGCCACTGTCAGAACTAAACAGGGAGTCCTGCAGGCGGTGACACCTGGAGAGCAGAGACGGGCACTCGGAGCAGAGCGTCTAGAGCAAGGCTGCCCCGCTGCCCACACACCCCCTCCCCGGGGAGGGTCACCAGGGGCCCGCCCCTCCCACTGGGGGAAGTGGCGTGGGGGGGCGCCACAGGTGCTGGCGATGCAGGACGGGAGTGAGGAGGGGGCAGACCCACTGCAGCAGCGGGTCCCTCCTGGCACCCTGGGAGCCCAGGGGCCGCCATTCAAACCACCCATGCCCTCCGTTTGGCCCTTCCAGAGGGGAGGACCCAGCCTTCACGTGAGCCTGGGTGGAGGGCCACGCGAGCCACCCCGGGGGCTTGGCACCTGGAGTCCACTGCAGAAGCCAGCAGGGGACTTTCACAGCCCACCTCTGAGAGCCCCGCACCCAGTGCTGGGTCTGAGGGAGACAGAAGCCAACCCTCAGCTGGAGACAGAGGTGGAAGGGTGCAGCTCAGTCCAGGCCCAGCCCCACCTCCCACCAACGGGCCCGCCACCAGGAGGCCATCCAGGGTGTTGAGCAAGGCCTCCAGTTTCGAAAGAGGAGAGGCCAGGGCTTCCCTCTCCCTCCTGTGGACACACGTCCCCAGGAATGGGGCACCAGAGAACAGCCAGCCTCCGGGGGCGGCTGGGGTCAGCAGTCAGACGGCTGCACCCAGGAGATGGACAGCTGGGGAAGACAAGGTGCCAGCATCCTCAGCCTGGCAGCTCTGAGAGTCTGGCCCTGCCTCCCCACCACACCAGGCCCCCCCACCCCAGGCCCTGTTGCCCGGCCTGGCCTGCCCACACACCTCCTCCAGGTCTGACCTGGGCTGCACATGCAGTGGGGCTCTGAGCCCCCAGGGTCTCTTCTTTGTGACTCTCTGCGCCTGCCTTTTGGCAAGGCGAGCAGGGCTCCCAGGCCCAACTATCCCAAAAGGACAGTCTGTGGGGGTGTCCACTTGATGGACCTGCCCAGAACCCCCCCAGATCCAGCCCATTCACTGTCCCTGGAAGCGTCCCAAAGCCACCTCATGCTACAACCTGCCAGTCACCATCTGCATGTCCAGGTCTGGCACCATACACCCAGGAGATGGTTTCACAACAGTGTGACCCCTGCCACCTTGGGATCACCATGAAGACCACCCTGACCAGATGTGCAGCAGTCTCTAAGATGAAAGTGGGGGAGGGGGAAGGGGAGCATTTCCCAATCCTGACAAGTAATGTTATTAAAGCTTTTCCAGATCCTTGCTGTCAAGTTCCTGAGGCCTGCCCCCAGCCACCATACAGACCCCTCAGGTCTCTCCATTGGCCTTCTGACCATCCCACGTGGGCAGCGCCCTGCCCCCAAGGTCAGAGGCCCCGAGCAGGAAGGAAGCCCACTGCCCACCAATTCCCACAGAGGTCCAGCCCCATGGCACAGTTCACTGCAGTGGACCAAAGGGCAGCAGCCATGGACAGTGTGGAGGTGGGGCCTCACCCAGAGCTTCTCTGTCACCCTCTCCCTGACTGAGGCGTTGGCTGCGCCTCTGTGCCCCCCAGAGGTCCCCACCTGCTCCCCAGTCCCACCCAGCCAGCAGGGCCATTCTAACTCATCACAGTTGGCACCTCATTTGACCTGCACATCAGCACTGGGAGGCGGGCACATGGGGAAACTGAGGCTCACCGAGCTTCCCAACTTGCCCAGAGACACAGCCCCAAGTGGGGATCACACGTGTGGGACCATACGGTCCAGCTCCAGGGCCGAACAGAACAAAGAGGGACAGGGTGCCAGCTCGCCTCCCCACTGCCACCTCCTCAGCACTTCCTACACCCAGCCTCTAGGCCCTGGGAGAGCCTCTGGACTAGAAAGTCGTGCCGGGAGGGCCCATGAACCAATGGCTGGAGGACGCACCAGGCATCCAGGCAGAGGGGAGTGTGGAGGACCTGGAAGGGACACGCTCAGAGGTGAGGCAACAGCAGTGGCCCTCCTTCCGGCACACAGCCGCACCTCGCTGCCGGAAGGAGTGAGCTCACACCCGGCGCCTGACCGCGCCTGCCCAGGCCTAGGTGAGCAGGAAGTGTCTGGAAAGGCTTGAGGAGGAAGAGAGAGGAACAGGCAGGGAGGCAGGGAGGCAGAGGCGATACCAAGAGTAGCCAGACCAAGGCCCGGCCCTGCCCCAGGAGGCCCCCTGCCCTGTGGCATGTGGCCTGGGGAACAGGCACACACAGCTGCATGTCCTGGAGATCAGGAGGGGCTCTGGTGGCCCATCCCCACCACCAAATGCTCCTCTTCCCAAGGGCCCAGACCTCAAGGGTGGGCCGTCGAGAGGACAGGAGTGGCTTCTGGCCATCTGGCCCGTGTAGAGCAGGCAAGTGACGGCCCATCCAGGGTGACAGCTTGGCCCAAAGCTGGTACCCGCCCCCACCTCATACAAAGTGACCCCAAATCCAGCTCCCCAGGAGTGGGCAGAGGGGCCTCTGGGCCTCCTGGCCTTTGCAGCCGCCCCCTCAGGACCACCCGGGGCCGGTAGGAAGCCAGCGCCACGCGCAGAGCCACCCTCCCTATGGTGTCATCCTGAACTCTGCGCCCGACCTTTGCTCTCCCTCTCCAGGGCTGAGGCTATCTTATCTCTCAGGTGAACTGTGTGCCCCCCAAGGGCAGGGACAGTGCCTGCACCCCAGCTGCCCTTGTCCCTCCCCTCCCCACAGCACCCAATGAAGAAAATAGCAAATCCTTGCTGACTGACTGACCTGTTGCCCACTTTCTCCTTGATAACCTTTAGCTCTGGAGCTGATCCCAAAGCCAGAGCCCCTGAGAGCCCTTGACCAAGATGAGGGTCAGAGCTTGGGGGAGGGGCATGGAGGATGACAAAGGGGGCGCCTGGAGGCAGCCACCAGGACTTAGCCGATGCCCACATGGGTCAGATCCTCCCCTTCAGTCACAGCTTGCTCCCCCGACTCCTTCCCATCAATCCTTCAGCTAAGCAGGACGCCCACCTGTGGGTGTGCGTACTTCCAACTCCTCCCCCGTACCCCAACCAGGGGTGAGGGTCCCATTACAGGGCCCACTTTGACCCTAGAGCGGGCATTTGTGCTGGTAATAAGCAGGACCCCAGGCCAGTCAATCACCAGGTGACGGATGAGGGACCTTTGTGAAGACCATTCTCTGGAGAGTCTGCAAGGGATGAGAAATCCCCTCGCACTGCCCCTTCCCCTGTTCTCCGCTGGTCCACCCTCCTCCTCCGGGAGCTTTATCAACCTACAAGGCATCCCTCATAGCCCTCAGAGACCCCCGTATCTCCTTCCAGGCAGAGGACACTGTGCATGGTGGGCTCACCCTGGGAAAGCCTCAGAACGCACCTAAGGAAGGCAGAGGGAGGGCGTCTAGAAGCTGAGCCACTGCCCTCCCCTCGGCCCCCGTACCCGGGTGTCCCGGGCAGGAGACCCTCCGCCCCCAACCTCCCGCTAAGTTTCCCCGCGAAGGCCCGAGGGGCACAGCTGTGCACGCAAAGTCCCGGCGCCAGACTCTCGGACTCGAGCCCAAGCTGCCGCCGACAGGCCGGGGGCAACAGGTTGGGTCGCAGGGGCCCCGTATCAGGGGTCAAAGGTTAGGGGTCACGCGCACCGCTACCTCAGGTCCCAGTGGCCGCTGCCCACGTCTACGTCTCCGTCCTTGTCTGTGTCCCGGACCGGCGCGTCCCCTCCGGCGCCCACATCCCGCACCTCCTCTTCCGCTGCCGCGGGCCCACTGCCGCCCTGGATCGAAGGCCGCGACCCCGTCCTCCGGCGCCGGGAGCCGCCCGCGCCGCCGCGGTCGCCCATGGCCTCAGCCCGCACCCCGCCGCGGCCAAGTCGTAGCCCGCCGGGCTGGCAGCACCCGAGGCCTGTGGCCCCGCCTCCGGACCCTTGGCCAACTGCCGCCACCGCCTCTACTACGCCACTGCCGTGGTCCGCGCCGCCAATCAGCGCGTGCAAACCAGGGCCCGCCGGCCCCTCCCGAAGTCCTGGGAAGCGTAGCTCCCGGAGTCGCTAACTGGCCCGCGGCCGCGGCTCGCAAGCCTTTGTAGTCCGCTGGCTCGCGGTGCACCCTGGGAGTTGTTGTCGCCGCGGGAGCGCGGGGCACCCTGGGAGTTGTAGTCTCCTGGCAAATACAACCCCAGACCGACGAGAAACACGCGGGGCTTCCTGGCAGCTGCAAGCCTCTCCTGACCGCTGCCTGCCCCTTGTCCCGCTCTATAAACACAGGATTTCGTCATTTCTCAGCTCAGGCGCGGAGTGTGGGGTTGCAGTTATTTATGAAACGCCTAGTGCGTTTACGTCAGGCTGACACCCAACGCGTCAACCGAACGTGCATCCCGTGGCGCGGTCGTGCTCAGTGAACCCGCTAATTACCACCGTAGCCACCCGCTTTTCCTCCGCTTAGGCTGTCAAACACGCGCCAGGTCAGAGGATGGAGGGGGAGAAAGGCCGCAGTCCTCTCATCCCGGGGCTTGTGCCATGCCCACCTGTTCCCAAGGTGGCCACCTCTGCCCTGCCCAGACCCCCACAGTAGAGACGCCAGCCCGCTTCTCCACCCGCCCCGCTTCTGCCTTCATCCGCAGACTTGCAGAACTTCCCGCCTTTCCCACTTGGGCCAGTTTTGCCAGGGCGCTGGGATTCTGGGGTGTTGATTCGCAGGAACCCAGAGGTTTCTGTTTCATTGCACAGTCGGCAGTCATCCAGTCGCTGAATGAAGCAACCACTACACCAAAACAACTGCACAGTGCGCGGCAAGACCGATCTTACTTGGTTTCACAAGCATTTGGCAAAGAGCATGGAGTGTGAGCATCCTGGATCTCCAGATGCGAAGGTTCACCGGGAGTTTAGGCCTGGTTTACACAAGAAACACCCCTAGCCACAAAACCCACTCCGTTTACTCCCATGGGGTAAGTAAAGCTGGAAAGACCGCCTCTCTGAAAGCAAATAAACCAAGAGGCTCAGCCTGAGATCAAGCCTCCTTCCTGCCGGACTCGCTCCTGACCCCCTCACCTCAACCAACAGGCACCCGGGACCCTGGTGACATGTTCTCCCACCGGACCATTTTCGGCTGAGGCCAGCCTGACATCCTTACCTGGCAGGCTGGGCTACCTGGCCCGTGTCTTGGAGTAGCGTGCGGAAGGGCCCGCCCTCATCGGGCTGGAGAACCCCTCTTGCCTGCCCACAAAGCCCGGCCTCGGTGGGTCAGGAGCATCCCCTTAGCCAGTGCCCAAGCACCTTTGTCTATTCATAGGCGGAGTTGGGCCACTCAGTGCTACGACTCTCAGTATAGCTCCCAAGGGAGGATGGAAGGAGGAGAGAGTCCTCTCAGGAGCCCGCAGCAGGGCTGAGTCCCGGGAGCTCTGCCTTTCCCTCCCCATTCCCTCTCCCGGGCAGCAGGTGGGAAGCCCCCTAACCCGCGCGCACCCGTCCCTGGGCGCCTTCGGGACTTGCCGTCCTTCCGTACCGAGCCGTGACTAGAGGGCCGGCCTCGCTGGCACGCTGATTGGTAGAGGAGAAGATTGACGGCTCAGGCTGCCTGTTGGCCTGGAGAGGCAGAGCACAGTAGCCAATGACGAGTGAAGGTACGTGTTGGGGGCGACTCCCTGTGTCCGCGTCCGGGTTCCTTGCCGTCAGCTAACGAAGCAGCCGGAGTGAGGAGACCAGGGTGGGTCTAGGGTAATCAAAGAGAACCGATCTTCCCGGGGACGTGAGGGAACCAAGGCTTCCACCACTGGAGTTGAGAGAGATATCAGGGCCTCAAGTCAATGGGGAGGCACGGACTGTGAAGACACGAATCAGAAAGGGCCTCTGTACGAACGCGGGGCGGGGCCTGTTTGAGGAAGGCGGGGCCCATGGCTGATACAGGGCGGGGCCTCCGGGGAGGGCGGGGCCTATAGCCCTGGCACCTCTGGATCCTGGGTGAGGTGCTGCCAGGGCCACAGCGAAGAGGCACGAGGGAAAAGGTTAAGGTAGGTGGGGTCGTTTGGAGACAAATGTGTGCATGAGGCGTTGTTGAAGAAAGAAATCTCAATGAGGAATCTCCCCTTGGTGGAAGCAACATCTGGCTTGGGACGAGGAATCTGCAGGCTGGCCGAATGAAGAGCTGGAAGGGTTTGGGGATTTAGAAACAGCCTTGGGCTGACTCCAGGTTGGAGGCGCCTTGGGCCCGTGAGAGATGACCCTGGACACAGTGGTCAGCAGCCTGCACCACACCACCCATCCTCTGGACTGCAAAGTCCTGTTCATGGACACCTGTGGAGACAAGGCTGGGCCTGTCCCAGGCACTGGGGAGGCAGCCTCTATCCGTCGTCCACCCCGGCCACCCATCAGAGTCCTGAAACAGTCAGTCCAGGCCCCAAAGCCGAGGAGCCTTGGGGAGGAGTGGGCTTCTAGGAGCCTCTCTTCCTGCCAATGGGACCCACTCAGGTATTCACGTTCAGACGGGTGGGGCACTGGGGCAGAAAAAGTGTTAGTCGCGTCCAATTCTTTGCGACCCCATGGACTGTAGCCCGCCAGGTTCCTCTGTCCGTGGGATTCTCAGGCAAGAACACTGGAGTGGTTTGCCATCCCTTCTCCAGGGGATCTTCCCGTCCCAGGGACTGAACCCAGGTCTCCCACATTGCAGGCAGATTCTTTACGGTCTGAACCACCAAGGAAGCCCCACTTGGGCAGGGCTTTAGTCAAAGGCAGCCCTTAACGAGCTGCTTCTCTCCCTGAGGCTCAGACTCTTAATAAGCAGATTGAGCAGTGATGCCTACCTAAGCTCTACCAATAACCAATAACCGGGGCTTTCACCCTGAGGTTGTTAAGCTGACAGTGCTCCCCAGAAGGGGGCGCCACCTCAGGTGGTCCGCCCTGAGCAGGTCTACTGAAGGTCAGGCCCCCCTACTGTCCACACCAGTGGAGTCTGGTGGGCCTGTCCCCTGCCAGGGTGCAGACAGCTGTGCTGGCCCTGCGCTAATCCAGTTTGACCACATGTCACCAAAGATTTGGAGCCTCTTAGCTCATGCCTATCTACCTGGTTGCCAAGGGCATTTGCTGGGGCAGGGGTCTATGTTCCTTGGTTGTCTGAGCCCAGCACAGCCCTGCCATTCATCTTCTCAACTTGACTCAGCCTGTCTGGGGCCCAAGGGCTGGGGGTGGCCGTGGGAAGTTCTTATTCTTTGGTTATCTCCTCCCCACAACCAGCCTGGTCCAGCTACCAAGGAAGGTCTCCTCAGTGTGGGGACATGTCCCCTGAATCTGGAAGTCAGGATGTGGAGAGCAGGCTGCAGGAAGGGGTCTGCAGTCCCCATTTCTCCAGTGGCATTGAAGAAGACTTGTTTGGCTGTCAGGCCTGTCGGGGCAGCAGCAGGTCCTACCAAAAGAGTGGGGATACCCTAGGCCACAGGATTTACAGGCCCTGCGGTACCCACTGTGGCAGTTCTAGATCAGTCCTGGGCTAGACTTGACTTAGGCTCCCCACTTCCTGGCACAGAGAAGATTCACCTGCCATGGGAGGAAAGCCAGCTGCTTTGCCTTCAGGAATGTCCTCTTGCATTTGGTCTGCCGAGCCGGCCCTCCAGGGTGGAAGACTGTCCCCTTGCCAAAGAAAACACATGTGCAAAAGGCAGCGGTATGACTCCAGGGCTGCGTGAGTAGACTGCCACTCCCAATGCAGTGCCTGCACCTGCCTGGCCTCTGAGATGCTGCAGGCCCAGAAAGATGCCCCCCAGACTCCTCAGTGTCTCCTGCGGCGCGGGCCCAGCCTTGTATACATCAGCCCGACACTCCAAGTTCTATCAAGAGTGGCATTTATTCTCCTCGTGGAGGTGCGGCGCTCCGGGGAGCTGGTGCTATTGTGCTTAGGAAGGAGGTCTGTCCGTCCGTCCGTCTGTCCGGCCGGCCCGGCCCCAAACGGGGGCGGAAGAGGGGCGCGGCCCGAGTAAAAATCCCGGCCTGTTCCGGGTGGGAGTATGTACAAGGCGGCGGGGTGCAGGCGGGGGTGGGGGCAAGGCGGGCCGGCAGCCGCAGCCCCCACCCGAGGGCCCCCGCATCTCGGGCCCTACTCATAGAATCAGTACAAAATAGGTGCTACCTAAACGTTCCTTCTACCTGAATTCGCTAAGTCGGTTATTGTGCTGCTTAGTTATGGGGGCGGGAGGGGGCCCATGGCTTTCCACGGCGGCGGGGTGTGGGGAGAAGCGGGAGACCCTGGCCGGCCCACGGCCCTCCGGCCTTCTCCTTAGGTAGGTAGGTAGATAGGCGTGTAGGTTAGGGTGGGGCACCTGTGTGTGCCTGTGCATGCGGGTGTGCCCAGAACAAGTGGGCAGGCCCCGGTCTGGGAGCTGTGTGAACACTGAGCTGGGATGGAGGGGTCTTGGACATGAGCCCTGCTGTGCCGGGCCCTGAGGCCCGGGTCCACCCCTGTGGGAGCCGCTGGGCCTGGTACCCACTGGGATAGGGCTGGCCAGGTCAAATGCTCCAGCATGCACCTTGTCCTCTGACCCGGGACCCTGGCCTGATGTGACAAAGCTGCCATTGCCAGAAGATGGAAGGAATGGGATTCAGTATGGGTGGCCCTGGTGGCGCTGGGCCTTGGGGCCCGGGTGTGTGCCACCTGAGCTGAGGACCCAGGCCCAAGTCAAAGCAGAGCCCCCTGTGCCTAGCACTGGTCCCACGCTGGGGCGGGGAGGAGTGAGGGGCCCACACTTGGGTCTAGGGACCGCGGCTTTCTCTGCACCTGTGACCATCCCTGGCCCACCAAAGCCAGTTGGATCCCTCCACCAACATGCACCTTCCCTCAGGTCGTCGCACTCCTGGCG